ACAAGATGTCAAATGTACCACAGAAAAGAAGAGACGTGGGAGTTCAACAAGATAGAGCCTGCACGAGTGGTGGTGAACCAGTGGCATATGTGCCACACAGGGCTGTTACCATTGAAAGCTCTGAGAGGTTTGCCATCTGTGTCTATACTAAATCAGTGGATATGGGGGAAATTAGAGGAGCAGGTGGAACAAATGAATAGTTAAAAAGAATTGGAAATGGGGCACAAACACCTGCCTGGCAAGTGCAAGGTCCTCAGTTCAATTCCTGGTGCAGAAAAAGAAAAAAGAATTGGCAGTGGTTAAGAAAAATTAACATGGGGCTGGGGATTTAGCTCAGCAGCATAAGCACCTGCCTTGCAAGCGCGTGGTCGTGAGTTCGATCCCTGGTACCGGTAAAAAAAAAAAAAAAAGAAAGAAAAATTAACATAGACACTTATAAGGCGGGGTGTTTCAACATAGACAGCTTGGAGTCTCTGCATAAAAACCCTGAGGTGGTGGAACGCAATCATAGAGGTACAGTTTAAGAAAGCTTTAAGGAAGTAACAGCAGCTTTATATTTGCCTAGTCAAAGAGCATACGGGCCCAGGGACATAACTCATAACTCAGTGGCACTGGCAAGTGCAAGTTCATGAGTTTAATTCCTGGTACCAGAAAACAAACAAACAAAAACCCCCACATATCACAGAAAAATCATCCAGAATGGTTTATACTTGAGATATATCTTAGAAAAGTCACTGGATTTTAAAGAGGGAATTCTGTGCGTGACTGCACAAATAGGCTAAGTTGCTTATAAGAGAGAAAATAATGGCCTTGCCTCAAATTTTGCAAACTCAATGCCAAAAGATAGTGAATTTTCAAAGAAGCCCAAGGAAGGAAAATAAGAGCCAGGATTTGTGTAATCACTCTGCTTGTTCTTAAGTACAAAGATGACGCAAAATATTTTGAGCATGTAAGAATATGTTGTATATAAGGTAGATTGCTGTGAGATACTGTTGTTTTCATGAGCCCTTAATGAAACTACTAGATGGTGAACATTAACAAAACAGCATTACAAGAGGACAGGAAAAGAAAATGCGGTATAGAATAACTTCTCATATGTGATAACTGAAAATGGGATGGTAGTTCCTAAAGCATATTTAACAAATCAAGAATTTTTTACTCTGTAAAAATTGTGATAATGCCCTTTAACATGGGACTTTTTAAGTAGATTATGATTTAGCTATATGAAAAAGTACTTAAAGCCTTATAAAACAATGAGGAAAATATGTAGTGAGATAGAAAGCTCCAGTAACATTAAAAAGCAAGGTGCAGAACAAGTTTTTAAATATGCTGTTATGTAAGTAGCATAAATACATAGGTATTTATATAAAAGAAGTAGAAAATAATGCATAGTGGTGTTTTCTGTTGTGTTGAATTTTTAAGACTCAAGAAGGCTACACTAGAAAGTAAGAGAAAAACTATCATTTGGGAATAAGTTTTCAGAGCTGGTTGAATGGAGAACAGAGTTGGCATGAGGTTTTCACTTTTCCTTCTTCCATTCCCCCCTCTCCCATCTCTTCCTTCAAATCACGTGAATGTATTACATATTCAAAAGTTAGGTAAGCAATGTGTGTATTACTCCTGATTGATGTTTTCAAATTTTGTTTTTGTTTTTTTTTCTTGAAATAAAATGGATTTGAGAAAAATGGTTAGATAAATGATACATATCACCAGTCATTTCCCCAAGTTCTGATCCCATATTAATTTTTAGACAAAACTGATATAATTTTAGTTGGCATCTCTGCCAGATATCATGGAATTTTCCGGCCTTTCCTGATGTGTGAAATTCTCAGGCCTTCAAAGTAGAGAACTCTAAGAGCATCATATAATAGGCTTTGAATAATTCTTTGTACCATCATCAGTTAAGATCATTTTCCAAATGACTGCCATTTCATCTAGGCAACCTCTTTTTCCTTTCTTAGCTTGTGAAATCATAACTGTTAAGGCAGATTCCATATCACTAAATAAAGATCCATTTCTTTTCCTTTCGTCTAACCTGATGTATGGGATTAGTCTCACCGGAGGGCACGGGGTTCCTGTTGTGGGTGAGCATTTCCCCTTGAGTGGCGTCTAATGTTTATTCCCCACTTCGTATGGCCATAACGGAAGTCTTGATAATGAAATCTAACTTTGGGCCTTGTGAAATAAGAAGAAAGATGTGAATTAGAATTAGTTTTCCTCAGGTAAGAAAAATAAAATCGTGAGATTGTGTTTTGTCAGAGTCATTCGGAGAATAAAGAGGGAGATAAGGATGTAGCCATTTTATGGACAGAACAGTGCAGATTGCCTTAACCGTTGAGAGTGCATTAACCCAAGTTGTTAGGATTTTTCCCCCTCAAGCAAAGTTGGTTTTTTGAACTGTACTGCAATTACCCTTGTAAAGAGATTCTCAGATTTTCTCTAAGGATGCGTTAGTATGAGTGTATAATGGGAAAGCAGTGATCCTGCTGTTAGTATATACACATACACATATACACAGTGCAGTACAGTTGCCAATAACAAAATTGGCAAATTTTGTATAATTTAAGATAAATCAAAGTGAATACTCGTAAAGTCATACTCTCATGGCCTGAGATTTTTTTACTTTTTTGTAGCCCAAGCTGGTTTCAAACTCACGGTGATCCTTCTGCCTCAGCCTCCAAAGTGCTAGGATTATAGAAATGCACTACCTTTCCCAGGGTCCTATGTTACTTTTTATAATGAATAGAAACTGTATCTACTACAGTATTTTCTAAAAATAGTCAAAGCAGTGAGCTCTAATGTATCACTGTACTACTGTATTTCTAGCTTGATTTCTAATGCTGTGTCTGTAAATTGAGGATAACCCTTGTCATCATCACAGGATCGCGGTACTAACTGGGAAAGCTTTTATAGAACTGGGAAGTATCTTACAGAGAGTCAGTGTCATGTGGATTCGGTCTTCCCTGTTCTCACATACGCATGCCATGCTGTGTTGCTTCTCCATAGCCACTCTGTACTGAGCAGCAGGGTGAAAAGGACCATGTTACATACCTAGAATATTCTTAAGTATTACTTTTACATGATTCTTTCTGTACATGCCTTCATATGAAGTAAGGACTATGTTGAGTACTTTTGTGTACAGACTTTTTATAATATTAAATGAAAATTTAGATATGTAATTTTTAAGTTTATGAATAATAATGCAAATGGAGGCTTTGTAAACAGATAATCTGTTTTTTTAAATTAACATGTTACCCTACATTGACTGTGTGACATTGGCTAAAGAACTTAAATTTCTTGTAAGACCAGTGTTCTCCTGTTTAAAGGGGATAATATTTATCTTTCAACGTTACTGAGTCAGTAATTTTTTGAAAGCACTTGGAATCTTGCTTTTCAGAACTTATTCTACCCTTATTTTCTCAAACATACTAATTTTAATTTAAACATTATATTTGGGTTATAGTCCTATTTATATAAATTACATTGAAAATTCATGAACTTCACAATTCTTTCATGTACTTTATACTGAAATGAAAAATGTAAGAAAGAAGCTATATAATAGTGTAATTATTTTACTTTTTGTGTGTGGGGGAACCTCAGTGCTCATCAGATTTCTCAAAAACAGTCAAGAATTCATTCAGGGTTTTATAATTACCTACTAAATATCTGGTACTATGGTTAGATTTTAGAATCTGAAGATAAAAATAGTTTGGAATTCTATTAAAGCTTGTGGTTGTTGATGAAACAGATAAATAAGCAACTATAATGCAGTATCAGAAAACTGTCATAGGGGAATGCAAAGAGAGCTTTGGGACTCAGAGTGGTGGCCTCCTGCCTTTTTGAGATGGAGGTGTGCATCCCAGGAATGTGGCACCTCAGTCAGATCTGGAGAGCCAGAACCTGGAACAGGGAGCGTCAGGCTAAGGAGGTGGAGTTCATGCTAGGATGATATGGAGCCACTGAGTGTTTTTGTTTAGAGAAGCATAAATAGATTTGACATTTCAGATAATTACCTGGCGCTATACCTCCAAGCAATGGGATCAGTGTCAATTTCATTGTAATCTGCATCACTACCGTTTTTAATACCTGCTATATATGTAACTCATGTATATATTCAATTCAGCACTCTTTAGATATTGTCACCTGTTTTACACATGAGAAAACAGACTCATAGCAGTTGAAATAAGTAGGTAGACAAATGAGAGAATGTTTGATCAGCTACCATTTCATTTACCCTTTCATTCTTATTTCTCCAATTAAAAATAGAACTCTCTTCTCTAGAAATGTACTATGATGATTAAAGAATTTTTAAAAATACTTGGAAATCAGTATCAGGAATCTTAGAGATTCCTCGAGAAAATAAAAATAGAATTCCACTCAACCCAGCTATTCCTCTTCTAGATATCTTCCCAGAAGCATTAAAGAGATCTTACCAAAGTGATATTCATGCCTATGTTTGTAACTACAACACACACTAACCTAGTGTATACATATCAACAATGAATGAGTAAAGGATAGTGATATTTATACACAATGGGGCACTACTGACAAATTTGAGTCACTTGTCAGAAAATGGAAGCACCTTGGGATCATAATATTGAGTGAAATAAGAAACCCAAAGTATAAATAAATTTTTAAAACTAAAAGATATTAGGAAACAGGATGGTAAGTCTTTTGCAACTGGGAAGGAAATCTAGAGATTGAGGAGTAAAAAGAATTAAGGTAGGTTAAGTACGTGCATCCACTCCCTACAGTGAGTGCAAATATATACTACAAATGTGTACTAAAAAGAAGTAATAATTCTAGCTTACTGCCATCTTTGTTTAACACTTCTGAATTGCAGTAGGATAGAAAGTAAGTCCGTACCTTTGGATATAAAAGTAAATATAAAGGTTTGAGTAGTCTTTCAAAAATACTTATATATAACTAGAAGCTGAGTTGAGATGTAGCATGCGCTCTGTTTGAGTTCTTCTACTTACCTCTGACTCCTTTTATTTCAGCTCAGTCCGAAATCGAAGTTTCTGTCTCTGCAAGGAATATTAGAAGGCTGCTCAGTTTCCAGCGGTATCTCAGATCCTCGCGCTTTTTCCGTGGTACTACGGTTTCCAGTTCTCTTAACATTTTAGACGACGATTACAATGGACAAGCCAAGGTCTGTCAAGCTTTTTCAAGAAAATGTTTGATAAGTTTTCTGCAGGCCTTTTTTCTCCATATTGTACTAACTTGCACATTGTTTTTCTGTCTTTGAAAAACAAATTGGACTAGTTTTTCAGATGGTTTTCTTTAGAGCAGCTGCTTGGTTTATGTTTAGGTGTGGCAGCACAAAGGAGATATGAAAAATAACTAAAGTAGTGAAAATGTTTTCATTTGTTGCAACATTAAGTAATGAGTAGATCAATAAAACATTAAATACAATTTACAAAGGTCACCCAAATCTTAATGTGGAGAAGAATACTAGAGTCTGATAGCCAGTCTAATATCTCTCTAGTCTGTCAGTAAGAAAACTGAGACCTCGAGGGCATGAGGGGCTTCGGTTCACCCAGCTAGTTAAAGGTAAACCCAGCAGCACACAAAGTTTTGTGACTTTCAGTCAAATGCATTTTGTGTAGACTCTTGCATTAAAGAGAGATTTTGAGGTTTTAGACATGTTTTAAGTAAGCCTAACTCATCTTCAAATACTTTAAAAGAGCCGGGCATGGTGGCTCATGCTTGTAATCCCAGCACTCGGGAGGCTGAGGCAGGAGGACCGTAGAGTGTTCGAGATCAGCCTGGGCTACAAAGTGAGCTCAAGGCCAGCCTGAACTGCACAGAGACCCTGTCTCAAAAAATTCCAAAAAACAAATACTTTAAAAGAAACATCTTAAGTTGAAGTTAAATAAACCTGTTTTTGACCAAATAATGATTTAAATAATCTTGATATAATATTTATAGGCCAGTTTTTGGAAATTTGTGTAGAATAGGCTGGGGTACATGTTTAACAGTTACATTATACTGAAAAACTTTGCTTTTTTGTTTGATAAACAGTATTGCTAAAAAATCGTTGTACTTTAAACTTGCAGAAAGACTCAAGCTCTGCTTGTTAAACTGAGTGTATTGATACAGGTATTATTGTTATTTGTATTATCATGATTGACGATCTCTACTAGTATGTTAGTGTTGCTCGTGTCTATCCATAAGTGTACACCATAATAAACTTGTAGATACAAAAATAAGTTTTCTTGAGAAAGTGCATAAAATGTTTAGATTAGGAATATATAATGCTCCCAGAACCAAAATAAAAAGAAGAATATATAATGCAAATCCGGGCATGGTGGTACACACACATAATCTCAGCTGGGCAGGCTTTAGGCAGGAGGATTGCTTTGAGTTTGAGGTCAGCCTGGGCTACATAGTGAGTTCAAAGCCAGCCCAAATTGCATAGTGAGACCTGGTTTTAAAAAAAAAAAAAAAAAGGATAAAGAATATGTGGTATAAAAATACTTAGTTTTTAGAATTTTTGTTGTATTTATTTTCTTTTGGAAAAATACATAACATTCTAAAAGGTAATATAATCGATTATTTACTCTATAATAGTATTTAAAGTTTATAAATAAATTTTCCAATGGGGGTATTCTTTAAAAACTTAATAACAAATAATGTAAGCATGGTATAGTAACAGTGTCAGGGGCTTGAGTTCCAAAACCAGATTCCTGATTTTTAGACCCCAGCTCTCTCATTTTCTGGCTTCACAAATAAGTTATTAACATAAGTTCCCTCATCTATGAAATGAAGATTGAAAACAGTGCCTGCTTGGATAGTGTTGTTGTAAGTGTAAAGTACTTATGCTAGTACTTGTGTTTAGTAAGTTCTCAGTACAGAGCTATTCTAACTCATGTTTACTAGGTTTACAAATCTAGTTTTAGATCATGTAACATACAAGTCAAACTTCTGTGATGCTAAATTATTTCAGAATTATTGAAAATTTTTAGAACAATTGAATAAGTTGAAAGATTAATCTGACCTGTACATTCACTAATTGAAAGACAAAATAATAATTTAATTTTTCCAATGGAGTTTATTTCTTTGATCATTTTTTATAGCTCATTGGAAAAGTCATGATTAAAAGGAGAATGGTAATTGGCGTTTTTAAAAATAAATTAGTCATTTTCCATTTTCGTTAATGAACTATCTAAAAATGTTATTGAAAATAAGTTACAGTAGAAATGTTTGGTTTTTATTTCAGTGTATGCTGGAAAAAGTTGGAAATTGGAATTTTGATATCTTTCTATTTGATAGACTAACAAATGGTAAGTGAAGAATTTGACTTACTGAAGTTAATCTAGCCTGTAGATTGTACAATGTTGGTATAGCCATTGGTGGGTTGTTACTTTCTTAGGTTCTAAGCCATCTGTTATCAGAGAAAACATCGTATTGTCCCTTTTTTAGTGACTTTTCTAAAAGCTAACAGAATTCTCACAATTCTATATTCTTATTACTAACCATAGCAGTAATCAAAAGTCATTATAACCAAGTATGGTGGCACCCATCTATAATCCAGCAATTCTAGGAGGCTGAGGGAGGCAGGCCAGCCAGAGCAAATTAGTGAGACAGTGTCGTAAATAAAATTAAAAATCAAAAGGGCCAGAAATGTCACTCAGAGATAGAGCACTTGCTTTGGGTGAGGCACTTGAGTTCAAGCCCAGTACCAAACCAAAAAAAAAGTCATCATCCTCAGAATATGACTGATTGGCAGTTAATGCTGGTATTGTTAATATCCCAAGTGAACGTTATTATCTCATTATGGTCTTGAGTTTCCATTTTGGTTCTTTCATATTGTGCTATCTATAGTGATACTCTCAGGTCGATCCTGTGCGTGACCAGCACAGATGAGGGGTGGATTGGCCACCTTCTGCAAGATACTTTTCCTTGCCCCGGAGCACTTGAGAGACCTAACGTGTTCCAGTCAGTGCAGTGGTTTCCTGGGGCGCGCACACACCCAGTAATCAACTGGCCTTTGCCCCTTTTGTCTAAACTGCTTTTTAATAAAGTGAAACCCTGGAACGTATGCAGAGAAAATGCCTCATCTGCCTATTTGGAATGATGAGTAAATATGTGACCTACTGTTATACTTTGATATCACCTGTCTTTTTTTTTTTTTTTTTTTTACTTTAGGATAAGACTTCTTTCATAAGGAAGCCAATATAGTATGTAAAATGTACAAGTGAACACAACTTTATTTATCTTGAGCAGTAGAGTCTTTCAGTGTCACTCCATTATTTATTTCCTGTAGGCTGTAAGCCACTACATAGAGAAAGAACCACTGTAGGCAACTTTTACTTGTGCATGCGTTGTGGACAGGAAGTGGCCTGGACTGATCATCACCAAAATAGTGAAAACAGCGAGGTTTTTCTTGTTAGCAAAGATTCCTCACTGCCCATTTCCCTGCCTTCCCCCCACGCCCTTGTTTTTTTCTTTCCAGCTTCTTTTTGCCATTTGGTGATGAGGTGCCTGTTCCCCTCTCTGCCCCCAAGGCCTGTGGGAAAGGCTCAAATGCTGTCATACAGTTGACTTTCCCCTGGGCCTTCTGTTAAAGGTACAGGTGGTAAAACATCAGGTAACCCAGCTCCTTCTAGATCTCAGAAATGCTCTTTTTCCTAATGACGCAAATATTCCTTCAGCTGCTACTTAAGGTACAGATTAAGTTAATGCTACCTTAGTACCTTCAAGGTTTAGCCTTGAATAAACTCTCACCACTCAGACGTCATTAGGCTTCTCAGTCACGTATCACTCATTGAAATAGTTCATTGTTCTCTAGATTTTTAAAATGAAGGCCCTTCGCGATGAACTAACAGAGATTAGTAGTGTGGCTACCTATCTTGCATACATATGCATACATACAGTTATATATGTATACCTACCTACATATAATCTTTTCCTTGCTTCCTTTTCTCCTTTCCCCTATCCCAGTTGTTCTCCTTTTGTGCACTTTCTTTCCCTTTCATTATAACCTGAACAACTACTTCTAAGATAACTAGATGTAGTATATGAACGAGTGTTAATTTCCTATTTTTTTTAAAAACTCTGTGTCATTTCTATTCTTTTTTTCTGTTTTGCTTTTTAAAATAAAATAAAAACTGCAGGCCCTGCCAGTCAGTGTTAGTGTGAAAGAGGAATGAGGATTGTAGTATGTAAGAAGGTCAGAAATGCAGAGGTAGTGACTGTCATCTGTGTTACTTAACTGCTTTCCCTTTGATCACCTCACTGTTTGAACTAGGTTCTTGGACAGGGTGATAGAATGGTTTCCTCTTAGAGTTGATTCCAAATCATTAGAGTTAGTAAAGTTCCACTGATAGTTAATTCCCCACCTTTGATTTCATAGGAAGTAACATAAACATTTATTTAAATACAGCATTCTTTACTTGAAGAGATATTACTGAAAAAAGGGCAAAACAATTCTTTCAACTTGCATTATGTAATAGAATGCATTTCTTTAATAGCTTCTCAGCCTGCAATTAATTATAGATGACACATTCTATCTAAGTGCGTAGTGTTGCCTTCTCTCTTACTGACCCAGCAGTAAGGTTTCAGAGATTATACTGGGAGAGGAGAGGTGGGAGGAGGAGAAGTCAACAATTCATGGCAGAGAGCCGTGGTCTTTACCTCTGCCCAGAGAGCAAGATCGTTATTGTTTTTTTGTTTTTTGTTTTTTTTTTTAATTTAAGAGGAAAAAGAGAAAAACACAAAACAAAACAAAGCAGTGTAAGGTTACACATAATACAGAACTACAAAAAAAAAAACATAACAGTAAGAAATCACCTGTTAATAGAGTACATATTATCATCTTGGAAATAGTTGCTCAAATCACAGTATCAAAGAATACAAAGTAGACATTCAAACAGAGAGACTGCAAACAGCTGTGTTCAATGATCCAAAAACATTAATATAGTCAGCTATTTAATACACCTAAACACACTTGCTGTTATATCCGTTAGAGCTCTTTTTTTTTTTCCTCCCTCTCTTTTTTACAACAAAATTTACACATTTTGGATTTTATTACTCCTTAGTTCTTATTACTTTTTTGGGGGGGAGAGAATAAAGTCAAATATGGCAAAACAAAGCTGTAAGTCAAAACCAAGGATAGACATAGCACATGATGTAGAACAGAGTACAAGGTTATTAACAATGGTTATCAACATTGTCTCTTGTTTCCTTAAAAGGAATTGTCTATCTCATTAGATATTATAAAGTTGGACAAAACAGTGGAGAACAAGACCAATAAAACTTAGGCATTGTGAACATTACAGGACTTCCAAAGGAGACAATAGTCAAACCAGAATGGGAATCTTTGTGAATCTTATTGCCTTCAAATTAGTTGCCTATACCCTCAGACTTGCTACTATCGCACAGAATGGAACAGAGTCTAATCGTCAAAACAAGATCTTGGGAGTATTACAGGACTTCAAAACAAGTTAATAGGAGATCGAAAAGAGTTACTATTATATATCCTAATTTTTTTAATTTTTCCCTTAATTAAAATAAACATAAGAAATAGCTAAATAATTTTTTTAAAGAATAGTAGTTACCATAGTGTCTGTCTTTTTCCTTAAAATATTTGGATAAAACTTCATATACTATAGCTTCAAATATTTCCATATCAAAAAGCCCAGAATAAAGCCTTTCTAATTAATAAGTGAAAATTTTATAAGGCTTCAAGGCCACATATGGGGAATCATGATTATCACATATTTTTATATATTTGAATCATTACTTACATTAGGGAAACTATTCGGTATTCATACATGCGAGATTGATTTATTTCACGTATGAGTATGGTCTCAAGCTGCGCCCATTTATTGATAAATATCTCAATGCGATCCTTCTTTATAGCTGAATAATACTCCATTGTATAGAAATACCACAACTTTTTTATCCATTCCTCAGTTGATGGACACTTGGGTTGTTTCCAAGATCTGGCGATTACAAATTGTGCTGCTATAAACATAGGTGCACATATATCCCTGTGGTATGATGCTTTCAGTTCTTCTGGGAATATGCCTAGAAGTGGAATAGCTGGAATAAATGGGATTTCCAATCCCAACTTTTTGAGAAACCTCCAGACAGACCTCCACAAAGGCTGTACCAGTCTACACTCCCACCAACAGTGCAGGAGAGTTCCTTTTTTCCCACAGCCTCTCCAGCATTTGTTGTTGTTGGTTTTCTTGATCCTGGCCATTCTTTCAGGAGTGAGATGGTATCTCAGTGTGGTTTTAATTTGCATTTCTCTAATGACCAATGATGATGAGCATTTTTTCATGTATTTATTTGCCATTTGCATTTCTTCATCTGAGAATTGCGTATTCATCTCAGATGCCCATTTTTGGATTGGATCTTTGAATTTTGGAGGTCTGAGTTTTTTTAATTCTTTATATGTTTTAGACAAGAGTCCCTTGTCTGAGAGAGAGTTCACTAAAATCTTTTCCCAGTTTGTGGGTTTTCTTTTCACTATGCTGGAGATTTCTTTTGACATGCAAAAACTTTTTAATAAGAAGTGGTCCCAGTTATTGATTCTGGGAAGTATTTCCCGTGCAGTTTGAGTCCTATTCATGAATTCTCTACCTACTCCTATGTCTCCAAGGTTTCTACCCAATTTGTCTTCCAATAGATTTAGCGTTTCTGTTTTAATATTCAGATCTTTGACCCATTTAGATTTTAATTTAGTACATGGTGATAGACATGGGTCTAGCTTTAGTTTTCGGCAAATAGAGAGCCAGCCTGCAGAAGCCCCTTCCTTTGTCGTTATTGTCTTGTAGATACATTTGACGATCCTTTTATGGTGATGAGATGAGGTAATGTGAGAGCAGGATACAACTTGTGCCAGCCTGTGCTGAGGTGATAGCTCTTGTCAAGGATCATTTTCTAAAAATTATCAAGGGCCACTTTGTCAGGCAGTACTGTATTTCAGTATTTTTGTGTGTATGGTAGCTTTTCTATAAATACAGTTTTCATTTTTAAGAAAGTGTTCCATTTCCATTTTTAAAAGTTCTTTGCCTTTTAACACAATTAAGCATCTCTTGTTTTGGAAAGTTTTACTGACTTGTGTTCTTATTCACCGATATTAAAATATTTAATATTCTGTGAACTCACAGGAGACAAGGAATGTTGCATGTGGTTTTTTTTTTTTTTTTAATGATTTGAGTACACTTTAATATATTAGTTCTTGGTACTTATCTCTTAATTTTTTAAGGAAGGGCATTATGTGCATCTTGTATACCATTTGCCTGAGTTCTGAAAGAGGCTGTTTTCCCAG